TGGCATTAAAGAGTTGATACAGGTATGCTTACCAGTATTCTTTAGTGGCTTTTCTGTCCTGTGTCAAAACATTTTTACTCATGTGCCTCCTGCTGTATGTCTGCTAGAAATGGCTGGTTTTCAGTGACAAACACAATAAGGCTTTGTAACCTGATTTCCTATTCTTGGTTTTCCTGAACCTTTGCTAGCCTACACTGAAATCATACAGTGGCAGAACTATGGCTCTTTTACCTTCTATCTTCCCATTTCATAGCTGGGTATGGCAAGGCAGTGTTGTAGTTACAATGCCTAACTACTTTCCAAATATCGATGCCATATTGAGGGCAAAGATGCCTGAGGTTGCATCCAAGTGATCATAAGGGGGAATATTAATTTTTTGTGGGGAGTGGATTACTCTAAAGGCTGCAGAAATGTGGAGATATTTTATTGGTATCTGCCCTCTCTTCAAACAATTTCTGTAATATTTGCAGTTTGGCCAAAGTGGAATGATGTCATAGAAGATATTTGAATTCATGCCATTGATATCTCTTCAAATAAGGAAATGCTGTTTCTGTTGAGATGCTTCCTGTGAAAAGATACTATGCACTTAATCTCCTTTCAGTCATTTGAAACCAGAGGTTTTCAGGATTCATTCTTCTGTAAGGCCAGGAGGTGTATTTTCAGATATCAGATGCCTGTGGGGAAGTATTGTAGTTCTTAGAAGGTGGCACCTACTGGAAAATGAGATGGCTATCTAGTTGAGTATCCAAACTGTCTCATTAGCTGCTCAGTCAAGCCCTGTGACTTTTAGTCTGTCAAAATGTTTTTTTTCTAACGGTGAAACTCATCAGAATAAAAAAGTCAAAGCTCTTTTATCTATTGACATCAGAAGTGAATTTCCTAATATAACAAAATGTTGCTGAATCATTTCAGTGTTCTCAAGCTTAGCTTCCTAAAAGCTATTTACATCAGAAACCTCAATGAGTTTTACAGAAAACATAGTAACTGGCAGCCCATGATTATCATAACCTTAAATGGCAAAGGAAAGGAATGGAGCCAATTTGGATCAGGAATGATGCCAATTAGTCAGGGAGCCCAGAGTTGCACAACTGGAAGTTTAGAAGGTGACACTGTCTTGAATCCATAAAAGGGAGAGTTTACCTCCTGACTCTGCAACCCAAGGGCCTACTGTTGTCAGACCAGAACATCTCCCAGTTATCTGAAGAATGAATGAGACCCACCTGATAAACATTGGAGCTCTGATGCACCAGCAATCGACCCTAATGAATTCCTGCTAGGGGGTCTGTCTTGTAGTATGGCAATGAATTCTGAAATCCAAATGTGTAAAACTCAGTCCTGCAACATGACAATGGCAAATAATGGACACTTTTGGTTTGGCAGGAAAGCAGAAAAGATAGTTTGGTAGGAAAAGTATGCAATGAATGTCTTTATCCACAGTGTTCAGGTTTTTCCATATATGTTTTCTGAAGTAAAATGTTATGCTCAGTTTTAGCATTTTTGTTTTCAAGTTCAAATTCAGTTTTTAAACAAATGAATGCTAGTTTGATGTACGTATAAGTAATTTGTTTAAAAATTACTTTAGTATAACTTAAAAAAGTCATTCAACTCCCAATACTTCAGATTCAAGCTTTCTATCCAGTTTTGTTGCTGAAATTGGTGATTAAATAGAACCCCATCTTCATTATTCCTTTCCAGAAATACTTGAAATGGGGTATCATCACTCTATGAATTTGGGGAAGCTTCATACATGAGTTAATTTTGATCAGCTCACATGCCAGAGTGATGGCACAGTAAGATGAAGGGAATAAATACAGCTTACCTAAGACCCTTTAAGTGCCTTGTGTGAAAATCATTAAACCTATCAATTAATGATAGTACTTTGGTGAAATTACTGAGTATCATGGACTGTATCATTGAAGCTAAAAGGAATGGGAGAGAGATCAAAAATTAAAAGTAAGTGCTGCAGGATTCATAGTGTTGTTTGAAGAAGAATTATTCAAATTTTGCTAGAATTAATTGCTTGCTTCCTCAGGTCCTTATTTAGGAATAATTATTAAAAAAAAAAAAAAAGACCTGACATGTATTTAAGCTCCATGGATTTTCATATCTGTGTGAGTGATCTGGTTTTAGAGAAGTTGTTTACAGTGCAAATGTGTGCATAAATATTTTGCACGTTGATTCATGCATGTCCTTCAGTTCTTTGTGTTATAGTCATTAAATACAAGGGACAAAACTACACATACCAGGTTCCTGCATCTAAGTTTTATCATCTCTCCATTGTAGGTATTCATGCTGGTTTAATATGCTTGTGCAGCAAGCATCCACACCAAATAAATTTGCTCTTGAGCGTTTATGCTTTTATTAAATATTCATTGAATGAGATGCAGGGTATTCATGCAGTCTGCTGCTTTTAGTGCATTGAAACCCCAGAAAATGCATTGTTTGTGAATTCTTTATGCACAATGAACCAAGGTATTCCTTCTCTACTTAAATACATCAGGGTCCAGGATGTGTTGCCATCAGGGTGGTGGGGTTCTGCATGTAGGACTGATTTGGAAGGGTTAAGACCTGGAGAATGGGTACAACCACTTCTGTGTGTCCTTAGTGGAAGCTGCAGTGTCTCTTGACCTGCTGTCCCAGATAGACTAGGAAGGGTTATAAGTGTTTTATTGCTTCTGTTTTGGTAATGTCATAGGTAAGAAATAAAGACTTTTGGACAGCTTGAATAAGCTAATTTTTAGCCTCAGTCACTCATGTGGAACCTAACTCATGTCTCAAGTTAACAGAGTAACACTTGTCCTCAGTGTCAAAAACTTATGCTGGATGCAAGTGGCTTGGTGATACAACACCTGACTTATTTTAACTGCTTTTCTCTTCCCAGTAAGCATCAGTCAGAAGACCTCTAAGAATCTAACTTTTGTCCAGAATGGAATTCCATGTTAAAAAAAAAAAAAAAACAAAAAAAAACCAAAAAAAACCTCAGTACTCTTGTTCTCCTCAAAGTGGGAGGGTGGAGTTTTCTCACTGTTTAACCATGCTTAGATAGCTCGTAAGCCTGGCTATCTATTTATTAATTCCCTCCCAGAAAGGTGATTAGGTTTGTCCATGGAGGTACTAGCTGTCTAGATATTATAGCCTTACAGAAGCCTGGTCAGGATGTAGCACATTTTAGAGATATATATTCAGAAATATACACTTAACTTGTCCTGCATATTTATCGTACGTGATGAATGGCCAAGGCAGGAAGCAGTGTGTGTGCTGTGTGTGACCAACTGCTTCTTGTAAGAGAGGAACATGGCTTAGTCTGAATCTGGAGACTGGTTTTGTTTGATTTTGTGTTTAGTGAGATGTGCTGTCAACAGCAGGGAAAAGCATCCTTAAGGGTGCTCAGAGGTGATTTTTTTTCTTCTTCTTTTTAAAAAAATGTTTGTTTACAAAATAGGTCAAGGTAGTGAAATCCAGCTGTGGATTTACTTGGGGTTAGATACAAGTGAATCTTGGTTCAGGCTGTAAAGAGAGCATATTTGATAAACAGTCATTATATTTTTTTGCATAGTAATGTAGTATGATTTGGCTGCTGCCACAAAAAAAGCCCAGTGAAGCAACAACAAAACACAAAAAAAATCCCACCAAAAACCCCAAACTGATAAATAAAAACCAAAAAAAATCACAAGAATTCTGTGACAAATCCGTGAGAAAGCACTGCAAATAATATAGACTAATAATTTTTAATGTTCTTATTTCAAAGCAAAGTTAAAGTAAAATGCAATCATTTTCTGGAGTCCTATCTGAAGTACTTTGCATTACTGTCTGAATTCAGTATGCTCTATTATCTAAAGAGAAGCATTGGGAATATCTGGGATCAGTGTTAAGGTATAGACTGCTGCAGAGGGTTATGAGCAGATGAACAATAGGAGACAAATATGCCCAGGGACTTTTCAAAAAACCTATGTCCTTGCCCCTTCTTTTTGCATGCTCTGTCATTTATTGGTCTCTTAAATTCACACTGTTATTTCCTTTACCTGTGTATTTATGCATATGTTTTGGTTTTGTTCTGATGTTATCATAGACTGATGGGTACAGCTCTGTGCTGGAGATAGAGTTTATTCTCAAGAAGGATGAAATTTGACATTGTCAGGTTTTCATACCTTAATCCTTACACTGCATAAACATCTGCAGGTTTCCATTGAGATGTTACTAACTTATTGTTAGCTAAACAACTAAATTTTGACTTTTTATGGCTCTAAACTCTGTACACCTCTAGTGTAAGGTCAGTGTATGTGTTCATCTGTAAGACTTAAGGGGAAAACATAATCTCCATATATGTTACACCTGCTTTTCTGACGAGATTTAAAGCTTAGCTTCTGCTATTTGTGTTTCTTAGTCACCTTCAGGATAAACTAAGAAAAGAAACCTGTATGGCACATACTGGCTAGTAAAAGTACATCCCGTAAAAAAACCTGTTTGTTTACTGATGCACATTAACTTGCCCTCTGGCATGGTGCTGTATAAAGTTTTAAGATAGATTCTTAAATGAATGGTTTGTAGCTTTGGTTTATTCAAGACCTTAGGCCAGAGCAACTGGAAATATCTAGGTTATTGATTCTTGCTGAGGTGTTATGATTTTAGCGAGAGTTGGAAAGGAAAATATCTGTGTTTTGAGTAGAATAATGATTTGGTTTATACACTCACCTGAACCTTATATATTTACATGTGTTTCAGATCAGATTTCTTAAATAACATTAATGTAATTGCTGATTCAGTGTATTTTCTGATGTTAATCATACACATGAAAATTCTGTAAGAAAAGTTAAAAATATGTTTACAGTAAATCTCAGTTATCTCTCTTCTTCATGGATTTTAAGTGTTTTAAATGAATTACTTTTTGATACAGTACTTATACTAACACTGTTAAATTAGCTATGAAAATAATTCATGCAAGTTGCTTTTAATTACGTGCCAGTGACTTACTTGTTTATTTCTCTCCTTTTGTTTGTCAG